TTTCACTACTTTGGGCCACACCCGCCAGTGAAGCTGGCTAATTCCCACTATGAAAGTCTCCAGGATAAAGCCTGGAAAACCACCTTTTGCAGACCTCCCTGAGGACAGGCAGTAAGTGGGCATGTAAGTTCTGCTCAAGTACTGCCACCCCTTCCTCTGGGTGCAGAGGTGAACAGAGAACTACCCTCACCTATTTAGAATCATAGAAGAATCATAGAATCGTTTAGGTTGGAAAAGACCTCCAAGATCATCAGGTCCAACCGTGAACCTAACACTGCCATTCCACCATTCCATGTCCCCAAGCACCTTGTCTACCCATCTTTTAAATACCTCCAGGGATGGGGACTTGACCACTTCCCTGGGCAGCCCGTTCCAATGCTTAACAACCCTTGCGGTGAAAAAATTTTTCCTAATGTCCAACCTAAACCTGCCTTGGTGCAACTTGTGGCCATTTCCACTCGTCCTATTGCCTGTTACCTGGGAGAAGAGACCAACCCCCACCTCACTACAACCTCCTTTCAGGTAGTTGTAGAGGGCGATAAGGTCTCCCCTCAGTCTCCTTTTCTCCAGACTAAACAACCCCAGATCCCTCAGCTGCTCCTCATAAGACTTGTGCTCCTGACCCCTCACCAGCTTTGTTGCCCTTCTCTGGACATGCTCCAGCAACGCAACGTCTTTCTCAGAGTGATGGGCCTAAAACTGAACACAGTATTTGAGGTGTGGCCTCACCAGTGCCAAGTACAGGGTGATCATGTCCCTACTCCTGCTGGCATTTCTCCATCTGGTCATTTCAGATGAGGCACAGGCATTAGTGGTGAATACGCCAGCACTTGATCCTGAAAGTTTTGCAGATTTTTGAAATGGTAACTACGCATTCCCAAAGGACTAACTCCATCCTGCTCACTATACTTATGCCCAGTTTTAAGAGCTTATCTTTAGCCTATGCAAATTATTTTGAATGTAAAATCAAAAAGCTGATTTCACAAGAATTCCCCGAATTTCTACTGCAGCCAGAAGTGAAACACAGCAAACCATATAAAGCAATGTAAAATTACAATTAAGATACTAAATTAGATTTCCTGAAGCTGATGGAAGGACCTTGCATGCAAAAAGTCAAATTGTTAACCAAAGACATTTTTATGAAATAAAGCTTTATTACACTTTATAACCTTCCTCTACTTTTTAGCCTATTAATAATTCCCAATTCTTAGTTAATTTCTTTTATTGTTCTGATTTTGACAACAGTCTTGGGTTTCCTTGCTGGGCCATCTTCAAAGCGTATGCTCAGCTAGGGAATGGGCAGGGCCTGGGTGTTAGGATTCCTGTTCTTCCCCCCTTCCCCTTTGGATGATTTAAAAATTTCATTTCAGTTTGTTACATTAACATGTTTCCCAGATAACTAATAACATTATAATAATAAATGATAAAAAGCATGGATTCTAACCACTTTGTCCTCCTTTGGGAAAGCATCCAAGGAAGCAGAATAAAAAGAGAAAAGAAAAAAGGAAGAGAAAAAGAATAAAATAGGCAAGTATTAATAGACAGATTTCAAAGAAATGCAATTCTAATAACTCTCTATAAAGAGATAAAAACATAAAAATTTCAAAAAAATAACCAGAGCTTTAAATAAAAAGCTGATATTACTGCATATGTAGAAAACACTTTTCCCACCCTAACCCACAGAAGCATAAACAATATAACAAACAAACGGCAAGTTACAAATGAATGGACACTCTTCCATTTCTGTGACTTGAAACAGTGGGTGAAAAATAATTAAAATATATTCAACTTTGGTCTGAGTAAAGAGAACCTGTATCATACGCACTCTAATTAATAGTATAACGTACCATATCAAAGTAAACTGTATTTTCATAAACTTGCTCTAATGACACCACCTGCAGGTGATGCAACATAATGCATCTATTTCTATTAAAATATGAATATATGAAAATTTTTGTCCAATACCCCTACAGAATTTTTTAATAATATGAATTTGATTTAATGGACTCACAAGTACGTCAGGGCTATGGAAAAATTCCAAAATAAAGATTAAGTGGGTAATTTTCTGAGTGAGGGTTTTTTTGGTAAGAAAATTAAGACACCTTATTCGACTGACGTTTAGCTCAAAGACAGTGAAAAGGCCATAAACCAGTTGTGTTGTAAACATGATTATCTGCTATAAAATTAATGAGCACTTTTAACTGAACTTGTATCGATACAAAGAGCACTGATGCATTTCCCCTACAAAAGACTGGCATGAGAAAGTTACCTCATCTCTTGGTAGATAACAAAACTATTCATGCAATAAAAGGATATTTGTAAAATGTTTTATAACACACCATAGTCCTAGATGATCAGCCCAAAATAATCACTGGATAACGGTCTTCCAAATATAGATCCTACCACTCATGTGCAAGTGAGTAGCCAGTTCTTTGTAAGGGACTGACTGAAGAGAGGGTATTCTCGGACACCCTTCTCTTCTGCAGACGGCTACTGCAGCTAACTGCATGTGGATCAGAGGGAAAGTAGGATACCCAATCCAGATTAATGTATACTTTTACTTGTGAAATAAATTTAAAATAAATTGACATAACACTCTCACTGTGGTAAGAGAAATGGTTGAGGGTTTTTCTCTAACCAAAAAATTGACTAATTTTATGTAAGAGAAATCTGTAAGTGTATATGAAAAGCTCTATAAAAAGAGACATCTAAAATGAAATTAGTTCAATAAAAATTTATCAATGTGGAGTTGTACATGAGCAAAAGGGTTTCTTCTTTCATTCTATGAAAACCAAGAATGTTTTCTTCAAGCCATCACTCAGTAGAACTATACACTATAAATTCTTTTTTTTAATTAACTCTGTGAATCCTAAATATCTCCACAATCATTAAATACATTATTCTTCTCTATCATTAAATACATTATTCTTCTCTATAAACACCTCATAACAAAGTGATGAGTGAAACACTTAAGTAAAATGAAACATGAAATGCCAAACTTAAGGTGAACCATCTGCAGCATGACAATGTCAAGGAGGCTTTTTCTTAAGAGTAGACATCAGAGGACTTACATTGTTTGATCGCAGAGAGACACGACCTCCACATCGAGCACAAAACTTGGTCCGGCAATAAGAGCATAAATGGCCACAACCATCTGCAAACTTTGTTTTATGACAGATTCCACATGTTGGAGCATCATCCTTGTGCTCTCCCTGGTAACGGCGGGCTTCTTCCCCTATCTTTCTTACTTGCTCTTTATAGCTTTCAAATTGTTGATGCAACCTCCTGCACAGATGAGAAAAAAGTTTATATAGCAAGAATAGGAGGAAATACTACTACTGTGTATTTCTTTCTTTCAATTTATAACTCTACCTAATGTTCTCGGCATGTTCACAATAACAAATGTACCTCATATCAAATACACACTGCGCATGGAAGACTGTATAGGAGAATCTAGAGGAAAAAAATAACAGACATATGAATTCCTATTAAGTTTACTTCAAAGCTCATTTCACGTCACCAAAAATTGATCCAAATATATTAAGATGGCAAAAAATGCATACTCTTAAACAGAAGTATCTACCACATACAGAAAAAAAGCAGAAACTTAATTGCCTAGGCAAATTTGCATAGCTTTTTAATCGACATACAGCAGGTGTAAATAAAAAAAAAAAAAGTCAATCTTCAGTTACAGTGCCACAGTTCTGTTTTCAAAATCAAATTACTAACGTGTATAACTTAAAGATTTCAGGCACTCTACAATCACACTGGCCCTAAAAGAATCTGAGAAAAATTTACTATGTCAAGTCTATATATTAACAATCTGTAGTATTCTCTCCTGTTAAGTATGAGAGACTGTGTAAGATTTTCTGTCCCTCAATACAGACATTTCTTCCAGCTTAGCCATAGGAGTATATAGGAATATTAGCAGGTATACAGACAGGAGTATTAGCAGGTATATAGACAGGAATATTAGCGGGTGTATATACTCCTAAGATGAAGACTGGTGTTCAAAGAAGTAGCACTTATCCTCCAGCTGTCCCAGATAACAAACAGCCTGATGCTATATCTGCCAAGTGGCTAAGCTGTCCTGCTACCTAAAACACCCAGCTTCTAATCACGAGCTCAGGGAAAAGCACTAAACCCTATAGCCTTCACTTTCCCTTCTATAAGTCAGGAATAATAATAATAATTAAATATTTAGTGATGAAATCTTTCTTATCATTATGATATTATCTCTAAGGAAAAAGATGTTCTCCTGTTGGTTTCTATGAGATTTTGCTGGCAGGGATGAATTTTCAGAGGGGAACCAGCTAAAGTTCCAGGCACATCCAAAAAGGGCAATCCAGCTCCTCTCCTGCTCCTGGCTGCAAGCTGTTACTGCTCCGTAGGCATGGATTTTGACATTCACCAGATCCCCCTCAGTGAGTTAACCCGTGGACCTGAACCAACAGAAAATTAATACTCATACAAAAAAAAAAAAAAGAAAAAAAAATTGGTTTTCCCATCATTTTGCTTCCTGGATCACTCCACTCTGAGCAGGGCTCTGGAGACCCAGGAAGAAGGCAGGACATGAGCTCCTGAAGGCAGAAATGAAAAGGACCAGTGGGCAGTGGGATCATCTTTTCTGCAGCAATGAGCAATGAGCTCAGCTGTCATGTGAAACCCCGCTCTGACGCTTAATTAAAAGGATCATATTTCAACTCTGTTAACTATCTTACTATTCACCAAATCATACAAGAAATAAAAATTTCTGTAAATACACCAGGACAGCACTGCAACTTCTGACCTTCATTTTCATGAGTTTGAGCAAAGACCTCAGACAGACCAAGTGGGAGAGTCCAGTAGGGCACATTTAACAACTCAAATCTTTTCACCATGCTATGGGGAACCTACAGGCCCTTACCCACATTTTCAGATGTTCCTTCAAATCTCCATGGGTAACATTAAAAAATCATGAACGGATAAATAGATTAATAGAAACAGGGAATCTTGAGCTTAGTAAATTAGAACAGTAGGTGTGTTGTCCATAGAGGACTTCATGAGCTCTTTTATCTCCACCTGCCTTGAGCTACCTAATTGCTTAATTAGCAGTGAGACTCACACCATTTAACAAATGTATTTCTAGTGAGACAATTCTGTGTTTCTTTGGGATTTTGTGTGTGTGGTAAACTTGTTTTGACTTTTAAGATATAAGTGGTGTTATTTGTATAAAATACTGTTTTGGTGAAGTGGGTATTTCTACTTTAAGATGATATTCAAGCCTAGAAAATGATAATTCAACTTAACCAACAGGAATCGTGGTAAAATACACATATTCCGTTTGGACAGGAATATCACTGCTCCTAACTACGTAAACCAACCAACTCCCACACTAAAACCAGTGATTTCATATGGGCACATTCTAGTGAGGATGTAGCAACAGCAAAAGCTAAGAAGCCAAATAGTCTGTTCTTCCTCACTACAAACACGATGCATTATACTTAATGCTTTATGCTAATGAAACACTCGGCAGAAGTAGCAAATGGGGTTTTTTGTTGGTTTTTTTTTTTTACTAACCTGCTTAAAAAAAACTGCAGTTTTGAGTAAGATGAGAAAAGCAGGTCAAAAGGATTAGGCAAAATACTGGAGAAACATAATACTTTTAGCCACATTATTGGATTAAGCATATGATTTAACTTATCTTACACAGCTGCTCACTTATAATGCATAAAAACAACTGAAGACGTTCAGGAATTCATATAATAACCAGCTTAAAGAATGCAATTAAATA